CTTGTTCACGGTGACTGTACCTGTGTCTGGGAGGGAGGGACAAGACAATGCTGCTACCGTAGCACTGTGGGGTTGGCCCTGGCCCCAGCCCTGGCCCCGTGATTGGGTGCGTGTCATGGAGTAAGACCTTTTGGCTGTCTGAGTTTCATTTCCCCAAAATAAGCTAGGAGGGCTGGATTATTCCTAAGACCCCTGAAGCCCTGCTGGGCCCTGGAACAATGGACTCATGCCACATCACCTGTGGAGTCACACAGGACAAATCAAGACATCAGTATTACACAATTAGCTGTTCTTGCAATCTGAAAAAAAAAAAACTTCCCTTTTTTTCTCATAAGGTCCTTCCAGGGCAACTCTGTGACACCCATGCTATCAGCCCTTTTAACTCCTGGTGATGGAAGAGAGCGCGTACACTTGCATGAGGGTGTACGTGTATCTGTCCTTTTAAACCAAGGCCAAGTGGGCCTGGAGAACACCTTGTCTCCCCAGCACGCATAAATGACTAGTATCGTTTGGCATTCCTGGAGCTGGCCTCAGGCGTGTGCAGTCTGGGATGGCTGCCAGTAGGATGGGGAAAGAATGTTCTCTCCCCACTCACCTCCACAACTATTCCGTCTAGTTCTTGGACCCTAGGTTTCAGTTGCTAATAACAACCACCATTTCTACCAAAGTAATGGTGGATTCCTGTTTACTGAGTGCCTACTATGTGCCAAGCACTGCATTAACTGCTTTCTGTATCTTACCTAGCTGAATCGCCATAGTAACTTTATGAAGTAGAAACCATCTAGCCGATAAGGAGATTGAGGATCAGAGAGGTAAATTCATCTACCTAAGGATGCACAGCCAGCCACTGCCAGAGCTCCCGGGGAGATTAATCCAGGGTTCTCTCTGCTCCAACATGCTTCCTCCTTTGTGTGCAGCTGCCAAACAACCAGGCAGCTGGTTGCTGCTTGTGGGCTTGTGAGGGAGAACTGGAGACCAACCTCAGGAGCCTCCAAATTCCAGGAGTCGAGTGCTCAGAGAGGCCAGGAGATTCTAGAATCTGCTGTCTATGCTAAAGAGGAAAAAAGGAGAATAATAAAATGGGATGGCTTTCCTGGCTTTTACCCCCAGGCCCAGCCTTCTCTGCAGGGAGCTGTGTTGACACATGGCCCCCAGCCAGTGTGCCCTCTATCCCCACGGGCAAAGATGGAACACTTCTGTCCCACTCTCCCGAAGCCCAGCTGGTCCCTGAGTATCTCCTGGCCCCTGACAGTGTTGGGACAGAGAGAACCAGAGGCCAATTTCTGCCCTAGAAGGGAGCAGAGGAAACAGGCAGCACTGTGAAAGGATGTGAGTGGAAGAAACCAAAGAGACAAGCCAGGGCTGAAAGCTAGGCTCTGACCCAGCGCGTGACCAGTAGAAGTCACAGAATGTCTCTGAGACTTAGTTTGCTCACCTGTAAACTAAGAGAAGACGCCACATACCTCCCAGGACCTCCATGAGGATTCAAAGTGCTCCTGGATGAGAATCCCATGTCCTAACAGACTGCTTTTAATTATCATCATTGACCCTTTCATGGGATTGGGTTCCATGAGGTCTGTTCAGTGTGACAGAGAACAGGGGGGTCGACCTTGACGATGGGGCGAAAAAGCCGATCCAGAGTGTAACTGTTGTCCAAGGCAGGCCAATCCGGTGCAGAACTTTGTGCTTAGTCCTAAGGATGGAGAGGAATTCCAGCAGGGGGTGCACACTTCAGCCCCATCAGCCCCATCTCCCTATTCTGTGGCCTTGGAATCAGACACTAGGCTTGAATTCTAGCTTCACCACTTACAAGTCACCTTGCCTCTCTGAGCCTCAGACTCCTTACTCAGGAAACAGAGGTTATAATACATCTTTCATAGGGTTGCTGGGGGAATTAATGAAGTAATTCATGGTTTAGCACTTAGGATTGTGAAGCGGTAAAAAGGGAGGATAAACAAGGAGAGAAAGATGGGTTGAGTTCTAGAAAGCCCTAACGGGAATAATGAGAACAGACTCATCTTATTTTATTCAATTGTATTAATAAGGCAGTTTATTAAAACCTGGGCACTAGAATTCACCTCCTCCATTATCAGCCTCAGCTTCATCGTCTTCAACCATGTAAGGACGCAGTCATCGCTAACATGATTTGAATGCAGCATGTGAATTGTGTTATATATGAGGCGGGTACTATTATTACCCCCACATTGTCCACAGGGATGCTGAGGCACAGAGAGGTTACATAACTTGTTCAAGATCACACAGTCACACAGTGACGCAGTGATGGGTCCAAGAGCAGACGGCAGAAGTACAACTCCAGAGTTTAGACTTTGAGTCACTTTGCCATATCAGATGAAGCATTCCCAGCATGCTGTAAGCATTCAAGGTATGTGGGCGCCATGGTCTGAAGGGTGAAAAATTTAGAAGAGACTGCATTTAGCCTTTGGGTGGGGGACTGAGTGGGTGTCTGGCGCAGTAGGTTGTGGGAGCTCACCTGTTCCAGTACCCACAGCCATGTTCTCATCTCACCTTACAGCCCCTGTTCATCATTGGAACCTCTTTTCAAATGATTGGAGGAAGTTTTTCCATCTTTGCTGGAACAATTAATTCTTTGTGGCAATGGAAAACATTTCTAGGAATGAAGGTCCTTCCTGCAATCTCTCAGGCTATGGGAACAGCGTAGAGCTCATTCAAAGAGAAATCAGATCGGAGCTTTTGAATCTGCCTGGAGCTATTCTTATGAAATTTATATTCTTGTCCATGAATCTTGAAGTCACTGTTTTTTTATTTTATTTTTTATTGAAGTGTAGTTGATTTATAATGTTAGTTTCAGGGGTACAGCAAAGTGATTTAGTTATACATATACACACATACATACTTTTGATTCAGATTTTTTTAACATTTTTTATTGATTTATAATCATTTTACAATGTTGTGTCAATTTCCAGTGTTCAGCACAATTTTTCAGTCATTCATGGACATATACACACTCATTGTCACATTTTTTTTCTGTGAGTTATCATAACATTTTGTGTATATTTCCCTGTGCTATACAGTGTAATCTTGTTTATCTATTCTACAATTCTTTTCTATTATATGTTATTACAAGAAATTGAATATAGTCCCCTGGGCTATATAACAGGACCTTGTTGTTTATCTATTTTACATGCAGTAATGGGTATCTGTTAATCCCAAACTCACTTTTTTTAAAGGAGAATATTTCTTGGGTCAGTAGAAAACTCTGGAGAATTCAGGACACCATGGAATCTAAGATTCATCCATGCATTTATTCAACAAATATTTATTGAGGGTCTGCTCTGTGCCAGGTACAGAGCAGGGAATTTAATCTTATTTGATAAGGAACTTCTATGAAGAAGGAAAACTAATAAGTGCAAAGCAGCTGTGATGGGTTGAACGGGGTCCTCCTCCCACCAAAAGATGTTGAACCCCTCTGTGACCCCCACTACCTCAGAATGTGACCTTATTTGGAAATACGGTTTTTACACTGATAACCAAGTTAAAATAGGGTCACTAGGGTGGGTCCTTATCTAATATGACTGGTGTCCTTATGAAAAGGGGGAATTTGGACATGGAGACAGATACACATATAAGAAAAACAATATGAAGACAAGCAGGAAGAAGACAGCCACGTGAAGGTGAAAGCAAAGACCAGGGTTATGGTTCCACAAGCCAAGGAATGCCAAAGGTGGCCAGAAAATGACCAGAAGCTTGGAGAGAGCCCTGGAATACATTCTCCCCAGAGCTCTCAGCAGGAACCAACCCTGCCAATGCTTTGATCTTAGACTTGCAGCCCCCAGAACTCTATGAGACAATAAGGCTATGTTGTTTAAGAAACAAAGAGTTCCACCAGCAACCAC